CTCTCCTAAAATCAATTGAAACCATTGATCGTCTTCTTGTAATCGTTTGAATTCAACAGTTTGTGTTAAATTATTGATTAGGAAAACTTCACTTACCTTGATTTTTAACTAGTTTTTATTTGTTTAAATATCCATGTTTTATAGCTTTTTGGCTTTAAAAAACTCCATCTGTCATCAAGGCTTTTTGGTTAATTGATATTACATATTAATTCTAATTAAACAACCAGGAAGCATTAGATAGCTGTTTTGACTTGCTATTTAAACTTATTTTTAATGGATATCCACGAATCTAGAATATTCATGTCTAAAATTATGGGCTTATCTTTGGAACCAATCAATTGGAATCCAGTGATTCATATTTCTAGCTTGAATTAATTTACCATATTACGCAACCACCTTTCACTTCCTTAGTGAGCTCATGATCGTGCACTGCCAAAGGTACCTAGACCAGGACAAAACAGCTCTTTTGAACTTTATACATTTTCTTACTAATATTAGTCCATAATGTTAGATACGAAATTCACCAATATCCTCTTATCCTGATACCATCGATCTGATTCACAGTTCAATAAATAACTTTGCTACTGCTTACTTACTAAGTGTTGCTTGATGTCTTATAATTGATTTAGATTTAGATCTTATCATTTGAATAAATGAAAAAGTTTTAATTGATTTAAATCTAGACCATTATTTGGTACAAGTCATAAAAGTGATTAAGAAAAGTATTCAAGATAATTTTAGATTCAATAACTTCGATTGTCTTTGTAGTTGGAATTGTGCATTCCTCAAGTTTAACATGTTTTTTGCAAGGCGTGAAAGCAGTGTAATTTATATTTATCAATAATTTGGGTTGGATATAAATTGCTGATTAAAATTATCATTAGTACAGCGGAGGTTTTTCACGCAAACACATAAGCATTAGTGCAAAGGGACACCTGAATGTGTGCCACACAAACTACTCAGTTTTAGTGAACTACGATACTATATCCGGATGCCTAAACCGAAGCAGGTGGATTTTGGAGGGTCGCACCCCCAAACCTTTGACTCAAAGGTCTAATCCACAAGGCAGGTGGAGCAACGTCGGGAGTTGCAGTCCCACGGTAGCCGGTAACCAGTGATAAGTTCATATGCCAACTGTTGTGTTAGAATCCCTGGGCGAATGTACATGATCGGTTTGGAATCAGGGTTTTCCTCTCATTTCGGTGAACATAACCCTTAACGCTAGAAGGCAATGAGTAGAACTATTTCCGTGGCAGTGTCTACACACGCGTGGTCACATGAGAGCATTTCGAGAGAAAGAGAGAGCGGTCTCCTCACTCTTTGCCATACCGTACCAGGCCATTTGGGTGGGATTGTTGAATTTTCTATCTCAGTTCATGGACTGGCCTTGGACGATTGCTGGTTTGGAACTCTGCAGCAGTACATATCCTTGATCCTTCCGGGAGTCAAATCCAGAACCTTCTTGTTATCTTGAGCTTTGTTTGTGATATAAATTGTAGAATCATTATCATCGAACATCGTACCCGCTGTGTTCGTCTATATGGCACCAACCAATTAGTATTGTCTATACCATCTCACTCAAAATAATATATTGCTCAAAACTGAGTACATGAACACCTGTTCTTAATGACTGCATTTACCACAAATAGATTTCTTCTAAATACTCTTCTTATTTATTCAACTTGATTGTATTCTTTTTCACGTAGAAACAACACTCGTGTAATTGTTCTCATGCGTAAACCTGTTGATCATTATAATTAGCCATAGGTCACAGAGGTTAACCTCCATAGTTGTTAGGTGTGACCGGTTGTCTGACAACACAATATAAGATCCTGTTTACACTGTTCTTCTTCGTTGACGAAAATACTTTTCTCTTGTTCTAAAGGTTTTTTTTATCTCTACCCATGCATCGTTCTTCATTCTGATGCTCAGTTTATTTGTACTTTCTATCTATTTATTTCAATGTATGTATGTTTGTTAGTCTTATTTTGATTGTCTATTTACGTAAAATGCATAATATATCTGATAAATATGTCATATTATATAAAAAAAAATTATTGAATTTATTTTCCATTTCACGCCTTCACATCAATTATTTTCTCACAATCTTTCTTTCTTTTTCCTGAAACACACAAAGTTAAAACAGTGAAATAATCATCTTAATCTGCTCCGGATGTGTACGGGTTTACGGCAATTGTTATTTGGTCTTATCTAAATAGAATATCAATTTTTGTGCATTATTAACTAATATTTTACTTATTTAACACTATTCTCACTTTATTATTCATTAATATGAAATTATTGGTAGATTAAAATAAATGTTACGGGGAAACATCAGAGTAAGTAGCAGTGTTGGTGGTGCGTGTGATGATGTAGGAAAAACAGTGCTGATATGATTTTTATTTCCGATGTTTTCTCTTGTCCACCTTGTATAATTTTTTTAGAGAGAAAAATAATTAAAATCTATATACTGATGTTTATCTGAATTTTTTCTTTAGACAATTCACTTGTTAATAAAGTAGTAGTGTTGTTCACACGCATTTTGGCTACTTCTATGCCCTCCATGTTTTCTTATCGTTTTCTATCTAAATAAAATCGTACTATTTTGATTTTGTTAGTCTAGATAACGATATCTAATGACAATGAATCACTGTCAATTAGGTTCTCTTGTTGTCACTTAGAATACCAGTGTCTAGAAGATGAATAACTCTGATGTATATGCGTGTGTGTGTGTGTGAAGTTCACATGGAAGCAAATCAATAACACGAACTGTACATTCAACCAAAAGTAGGCTCGTAGTATTTGGGATGTGTATTCTCTCTATACAGGAAAAAAGTAACTTCATGACAATTATTGGTTTCATTGTTAAAGTAGGTGTATTCAAGAAACTACTTTTCAACTGGAGTTGTATAAACTAAATCTTTTTTGTAAATATTAGCCAATTTAAGTTTTACAATTATAAATCAATCATTGTTAGACCACCATTAGAAACCTGGAATCACTGGATAGCCATTTTATTCTAGTATGGGACTCATCAGCACTGTGTTTCTACGAAACGGCCGTCAAGTGCTTCCAGGTTTCTAATGATTAGTCTAACAATGATTGATTCATAATTTCAATCAAACTCAATCATCTCCTTAACTCTAAAATGAAAAATGTAAGTTTCCTCATTGTCTATCTCTGATATGCAAATTGGACATAAATAAATCAAGTAACTTTTTTAGTATGAGACTAATTTGAAATAATTTTGTAATTTCCAAAGTAATTACTGGATTATTTTTGAAGTTTCTTCTTATCATCAATACCAGGTATCGTCAACCATGCAATTATTGTGTAATTCAACTACTAATTTTACTGATAACTATAGAAAAGTACCTTTGAGTTAATAACAAGTATTAGCAATGTTTAGATAACAACATTTTCTACTGTAGATAACTTTTTACAATTAGAAATGTAACAGTCAAGTGAGATAATCAAATATTATATGAAGAAGAAATTAATATGTTTTGTACAAATTCATATGTTATTGATACACAAATTCAATATGTTGTTTATCATCAATAAATGCCATTATTACATTATTCGATTGTTCATTGATTGCATAAAACACAAATAGTTTAACAAGTCAATGTAAATTTAACATCATAGTTTTGGGGAAGTATGAGCTCAGATTTACACTAGAATTTCTGTTAGGTTTATGTTTATGTAGAAATATGACAGAATACTAAGAGTGTTTGAAATTAGATCGGTAGTAAGTAGTTGAGCATGTGTTTTTTCTAAATTCTTTATGTGAATATAATGTGGATTGTAACAAGATGTATTAGATATGTTTGAGAAAGTATCATGTATTTTTGATACATTACTAATGATGAACAGTTGCTTGTAGACATCGTTTGACCAACTGTCTCATCATTCTACATTGATAACAATATATCACGTTTACAAATTCAATAATGAGTGTATCAGTGAATTCGACAATTTATAATGATTTACAATATAGATCTATGAGGGCAATATCACATTCAATAAAAATCTTCCGGGGAATTTTTTTTTCTAAGCTGCAAACCTCATTCGCATACAATCTATTGTTTTTATTGAAAAAGGTTTGGTGACTAAAGTAATTCAAAGTGTAACTATAGAACACATGTAAATAATGCGTGCATGTGTGTGTTTAATCTTCGATTTCTTCATAATGCTAGTTAATACTTTGTAGTATTTCATGCTTAAATCCTCTTTTTATTACAAATTTTTGATCGACCTCTTAAGGAAAAATCACCTTAAGTAGTTGACTAACTAAAATGCATATGTTAAATAAGAAGATGAGACAATAGAGAGAAAGAGTAAGAGAAATCAGTTATTGGTTGAAAAATAAAGGAGAATAACTGAATTTACAACTCATTCTGAAGTTATTTTATGATACAATCACACTTTAAATTCTCTTATGCTAAATAAGAATAGTAGAATAGTATATTACTTATTTTATTGTAGACTATATCATAAGGCTTCTACAATAGAGAAACAATTTTTATTCTTAACTTTAAATGTCTTCTCCAATTTTGGAAGAATAAATTCATCTTTGATAAGAACCGAGTCATCAAATAAAATGTTAGTGATGTGTGATGAGTAGTTAGTTTGCTTCTGCTAATTACCAATTGACCGTTTCATCATTTTATGTTGAGTTGACTAGATAATAATAATAATAATAATAATAATAATAATAATAATTATTATTATTATTATTATTATTATTATTATTATTATTATTATTATTATTATGTTTGAGTTACAATTAAAATAATCAAAATAATTTACAGTTCATTTATCTTTTAAGAATATTTTCAATAGTGATAATTATAACAATCATATCTAATCATTGCATAATTCATTATCGATCAGAATTAACTATTCACTGATTAAATGTGAACAAGAGAGAGATGATGATAAAGTTGAGAAGAAATGACATTCAACTTATTTTCTTTTTCTTAATTGTTCTTATCTAGTTTTGTAGTGTTTGCTTCGAAAGAAGAAATTTCCGGTGCATGGTGTCCAGCTAAATTAATTCATAAAGAATTAGATGAATGGCTTCAAGTTGATTTTGGTGCATTGAAACTTATTAAAGTTCTTTTCTCAGAAGGTGGAGGTTTAAATCATGTGAGTATAATTCTATTATGTATGAATATATATGTATATGCATGTGATGATGTTTTGTTATTTCCTTCATTTTGTTGAATAAAAAACCATTTGAAAGTTGTGTTAATATTTATACGCTTTTATGACCAAATCTTGTCTTATCTTTGAAGGGTCCTCACTTTTTTTGAAGAAGGACTTTGTTATCCATATAAAAATCACTAAAATCTAAGAGGAAAATGGAAAGTTTATTGCACATTGAAATCATCAGTCAGTTATTGTTAGACCACCAGTAGAAACCTGAGAGCTCTGGACGGCCGTTTCGTCCTGGAATGGGACTGATCAACAGTGCTCACCCACGAATCCTGCACCTCATAGGATCTTTGGTCTTGCGCGCGAACGCCTAACCTCTTGACCAGCATGCTGGCATCCAACGATGTTAATATCTAACTCTGATTGATCTACAGATTTTGCACGACTTCACCCATTTGTCTTTGGTAGTTACTGCCTACACCCGACAGGGTTGAACTCAACTGGTCATGTCTTCTCACTAGAACTCTGAGGATTTCCCCATGAAGCTAGTCACGAGTGAGCACATTGTACGATCTTCCAATTAGAGTTACAGAGATCATTGTTTTTTACACAATGAAATCATGAGTCAATTATTGTTTGAATCCTGCGAGTAGCAGTAGTCGGGGATGCGCATAGCTGAATAGTCAGTCCCATACCAGAACGAAACGACTGTCCAGTGCTTCTAGGTCTCCAATGGTGGCTTATAAATGATTGATTGATGGTTTCAATGGGCAACAAACACTAATCTCCACAACTCTAATTGAGAAAAGTTTGTTGTTGTTCCATCGCTAGAATTCAATGAACGCCAACCTTCTTCATAACTCTAGTGACTCAGTGGATTGCAGATGGTTAATGAAACTTTATTCCCATTCGTCACATTATTTTCTCTACAATCTAATATCAAACGAGTTAGTCAGTCTGTCAGTTAGTTACAACGTAGATTTTAAGTATAATAAAGAATTCTACAACAATTACTTCCTATAAGTTCTCTATAATATCAAACATGAACTTATATGGAGTAATTGTTGTAGAATTCTCTAATATACTTAACATCTACTTCATTTCAATTTCATCTTCTATATGTTCTATGGGTTTTTTTATCTAATATTTGTTAAATTCGTGCGGACTAACCATTCGTATTCAATGAACCTTGGTATTAAATTTCAATACACACTATTCAATCTATACATTTTCATCATAGTGATTATGTATTTATACGAAATAATATAAACACCTTAATTTGTTGCATGTTGGGAAGCTAATGAGTATCTAAGTGGGTCATGTGATCAGTTATCTGTCGGTGAATCTAATATTAAATTTTCTCCCATTTTATAAAATCATTAGGATATTGTTCTCATAATAAAAGTATTAAGGACATTAGAGAATGTCTTAGATTTTCAACCATTCCTTGAAATACGGTACAACTAATAAAAAAGGGGAATTTAAAAGTTTCAACTTCCCAAACTAAATTGTTTCATGACATTGTCGATCATATATGTTTGCACAAACATAACTTTAATCTCATTATGTTTGTGCATTAGTGTTACTGGATCAATTTACATGTAAATCAGACAAAGGAATCAGTTTAATGTGTTAGCGTGTTTTTATGTACCTGCACACACCCTAGTAACTGCAGTTATCTTGATAATGTGACGGCTTTTTTTAACTTGTTTAACCAAGTTAACGTAGTAGTGTGGCGACAAGCCTATTTGCGCTTCTATTAGTGGCTTGACATTTTTTAAGTATCAAGCCCTATGTTGTACACGAACATTCCAACTGATGATCCTACTCTTATAAACCATGTTATAAAGGGATTTGGTGGGTTGATTAAAAGTAGGTGGATGCACTGAAGTGTTGAGATAAAAGCTTTGCTGATCAAACAGATTCTATTGTCTCAACCGAACCAAATTAAACGAACATGACGTCAATCTAACTAGAACAGTACTTGGATAAACTAAGACCTGTTTTAATCAACAGATTTATTGTCATTGCTCTGACATCCTATTATCATCACAACAAGCATTCGGTCATAGGTTTTTGTGCATACTACTCATAACGGATCTTATGAGTAGCATGAAATTTGTATTCAATTGAGTTACTACTAAGAATAATATGGGATCTGGATGTATGGCGCGATCAGAGTGTTTTAAAGAATAAAATACAAGTGGAAGAGAGTAGACAAGAATACACTTGTTTTGCAAATGGATATTTGAAGAATGTACACATTTTGACTAGCGACTTATGATTTCATCAAATGAATCACTTGTTCCACCTGGCCTTAACTTCTTCGCTCATTGCATATATGTGTATCCTAAATGCTCTGCTTCATTGGTGTCTTTACCTACATTGTTACTTGCAATCCAACGTGACAAAAGTAATCTTTGCTGATCCTGTCTGATTATATCTATTTTTTAAAACTCCAATTGTAAATAAACATGTAATGATCATTAAAAAATGAGGCGATTACATTTTTAATCTTCACTTATGCCTCCAATACATCACTGGTTTATTGTTTGAGACTGTGAATTTATGCAATACCAGGTTCCAGTGCTTCAAAGAGTATGAGTTTCCCTATGATTACAGATATATCATCTTGTGGACAAATATTAACTAATACGAAAGTTACGTTGAGTCTTTTTGTCGATTACCTTTGACCAGCTAACCAGATATAAAACACTTGTAGTACAGTGGTCACACTATCTGGTTATCAGAAGTTTCTGTATTATTTCATAACTCTAACTGTTCAAAACAAACAAGCGAGCTATCGTCAATGATGAAGTATGATAAAACGAACATGCTTTACCTACCCATCAGACACTTATCTTTAACTTCACTTGCATTCTCTTGTTACCCTATCTCCATAAGTCCCCTGGTCATCATTAGGCAACCTTCACTGTATATGCTTAGTTTAACTATTATTATTATTATTTAACTGTCTATTGTATAAAATAAATAATAAAAATATATATATTACCTGCGGATATAATGATGATGATTATTATTAGATTTATTCATACCATTATAATATAAACATGATGTACATGGAATACTATATACACACATATATTATTATTATTATAGGACTATGCGTCATCCATCTTCATGCTTACAGTTTAGTTTTGTTGCCTCTCCTGTTTCTTCTTCTGCTTCACTATCACTACTTCTATGTTATGTCTCATTTTTATCAGAATTATCCTGTATATATTCATTATTTTTAGTTTGTCTTGAAAAAAAAATGAACATTCATCCTTTCTTTTTTGTTTCATGCTATGTATTTGATAATCGAATCATACTGGCTGGCAGTAATAAGAAAATATTCCCCATTACTCTTTTTTTTTTGGTCCTGCCTCCATTATATAATCTCTTTATATATGTTATAACTAGCAAATAAACAAACATATCTCAAGTTCCAATTTATTTTTGAGAAAACAAACAAACAAATTGACCCAAGGTTAAAATGTTTTCTATTCATTGACCGCTAGTGTCCATTTCCCCATGCTCTTTACATCTGGAAATGGAATTTTTTGTTTTCAAACGATTAACAAAGACAAGTTATGTATGATGGGACAATTTTGTTTGTAACCATTTTAATCAGACTGTCATTTGTTCCAATTGTAAATGACTGGATTTAGGTATTCATTTTTTTTTCACTTATATTTTGTGCATTGTTGTCTCATTTTGTTCTCTGTCTTGTCTTGAAATTTGATCTATTTGTAAATCATCTATCTATCTATCTATCTACATAAACCTCATGGGATTGGAACACAATTTTAAAATTGTTTTCAAGTCGACTATTTTAAACACAAGCACTTAAGGATTATAATTATCTCGGTTTAAAGGGGACTATGATTGTTTTCTGTCTAACACACTGTCTCAGTTTTCTTTTTTTTTAAATTCAATTCTTTTATTCTTGAATAGTAGTAATATTAAAGGTTTTTTGGGGATTGAAACTGTCGGATTCTGTATTCAATTCAAGGCAATTTAATGTGACACATTACTCATTTTCTTTTGATCCGCTTCGATTAAATCTTTTAATCTTTTGAATAATCTATCTCGTTCACATTACGATCCCTTTTTATTATCAGCTTATCATTTGATGTTGGTTATTGGTATTCATTCTTCGTTAATCGGTTTATCATGTTTCTCAATCAATTACTCCTTTATCCTCATTGGTAATATGTGTTTGTTCGTGATAATAATAATAATCATAGTTTTATTTCATTATTGTCCATTTAGTTACAGTAAGGAGATCTTGGTGACATTTGTACATTTTAATACAACATGCATATTTTATAAATCATCCTCATAGTCAGTATTTGACATCTTTGTTGTCTCATGAAGTTTGTCCACTTGTTCATCCGCCATACATCAACTGTATGTCATCATTTCTGTTTTCTTTAACGAATAATATTAGTATTTCAATTTGAGTATTTTGTATGTTTAGCATCGTGATTAACGGTTAGCCCTTCATCAGATCTCATGCAAGTATCCAAACAAACAGAAAATAAGAAGAAGACTGATGACATATGCACAATTGGAAAATCGATATTGACCCAAATGTTTAAGCAGGCCATTGGAATAGAAACTTGAATATAAATATAGAATTTAAGCAAATGTAAGTGTGGTGGTAAAAAGAGTTCTAGGCAAGGATGGCAGATCAACAGATGAAGCATTGAAACTTCATCAGTTGAGGTGGTTGGGATATGTGTTACCTATGCCAAACCGCCGACTACCGCGACGAGCTGTCTTATGGTGTAGGAGTAGGTTGGAAGAAAGTTAGGGGCGGCCAAACCAAAGCATGGCAGAAATCCATGAATTCACTGACAAGTGGACTTTGTCATGTTGGTAGATGTAGACTACCTGTATTGGGGTCCGCGAGACGAAAGTTACCGGTGGTTAGAGACCTTGAACGACATAGCTCAGAATCGTTTGCAATGGCGCCGTTGCATCCA